AAAAGTAGATCATAACAATATTTATGATAATTTTCCAGGCAAATTTGCCTGGAAAAGCCTACAGTTTAAGGGATAGTATCACTATAAAGAAATGATTTTAAACTAAATACATATTACAGTATATAACAGTATTATATAGATAGATAGTAAGTATAAAAACTATGTACATATATATATTTTTTAGCTTTTAAAAGTCATAGAAAACATACTACAAAAATAGCTTAAAAAGCTAGTTCCAATGAAGATTTTGAATATAATAGATTTACAGACTTACAATGATCAGTAATAGAGGCTTCGAAAAAGATTATAATTTAACTATTGCTTCTAAATGTCTTACAGTAAAATTGATATTAATATAGGTTTAAATAAAAGAATTACTAAATGTTTTATTAAAATGGTATTTATTGCATTAATATCTGCATTATTATCTGATGCAATAATATTAAATTTCTATAACTATAATATAAAAAAACAAGCTATTACTAAGGGTTGGTTACTACCCTAACATTATTTAAATATAATAATAGTTATTTGTATCTTGAACTATCAAAAAAATTTTTAGCTATTTCTGAAGTAATTTGTACACATGCTACTAATAAAAGATACATTGAATTATGTAAGTTCTTGACAAAGTAACAATATCGTTGCAAAAAATTTTTAATTACAGAAAATGCTGTCTCAATTGGATTGAGATCAGACGAATATGATAGAAGAAATTCTACACATACTCCAAAAGCATCTAAATATTCAAGTAATCCATTATTATAATAGATACATATATTATCAAAGTCTAAAATACTATTGGGATATGGGTAAGAATTCATTTGAGGTAATTACAAAATAAATAAAATCAATAAAATTTCTATTACAAAATAATTTTTTAATTGATATATACAACTTTGTTTATGACAAAATCTTTAAATCTAGATTTTGTATAATTGCTTTCAGTTATATCAATGGCAATTATTTCCTATAATGATAAAACTGAGCAAATGGTATACCGTAACCCATGTATAAATGCTACTTTTTTTGTTGCACAAGTATTGATTTCTGAATAGCCATAGCCCCTTATTATATATTGGTCATCTTTGGCAGATTCGTCAATAAATATTAGTTGGTCTGACCGATAATGCATTCCTATTTGTATCATAAAAGCACTACATACAAGTTCATTGCATTCTTTTGCTTCCTTATGTAGCTAAAATAAAATTAATATATAAAAATTATTAAATTTTCCCTTAAATAATGATGGACTTTTGTAGGCAAATTAGATTGTAAAAGCTATCTAATAATTACACATTTTAATTCCCTATCAACTTTTACACAAATTATCACATACTAAAAATGTGTACAAGATTAGCATCGCAGCTTATCTGAACTACAAATCAGATTTCAAGATAAGGTATAATGTAATACAAGCAGGAAGATTCAAAACAAATATTTGTTTGTACTCTAATAAAAAGTTTTTGTTGGACAATTTTACTATATAAAATACTTTTTTCAAGATCCTAACCCTAATCCTAATCCTAACCTTACTGAATTTTAAGAATTTTGTCTGTGTCGCAAAACTTGTATACTTTTTCAATATACTAAATTATCTAATTATAATATAGATATGTCAATATATTTGAATTTATAATAAACCCAACTGGCAAAAATTGCATATCTGGTAACAGCTCATGATTTAATTAGATGATATGTATATAACTTTTACAAGGTCATTTTGTAAAATTAGAAAATAATAATAACAAAATGCCATTAAATATATGGATTAGCTAAATTTTTGGTGATTAGCCTTTTAGTGATAATGCAATATGTATAACCAATATTATAACCATATAAGCAAAAACAATTTGATCAAAAATTTGCAAACAAATTTGCTTACAAATTTGGTTAAGAGATACTTATTTTTACAGTAAAATAAAACTAATGCTAACTTAACTTTTTTCTGAGTAATTCTGCAGTAAGCTAGAGATCTCTATAAGGTTGGAACTGATACAAGCTTTCCAGTATACTGCTCCATTTCATCAACAAGTTCATACAAATAATAGTTAACTTTTTCACTAACAATTTCCTATAAGATCTAATTTATATATAATTATTAAAATGTTTTTACAAAGCAAAAAGTTGTATACATATGTTTATATCGTTCCTATCAAATGTCTTTCGCAATCCAGAAACTTGTTGCCATAGATGAATGACCATGCCCTATTTCTTATAAATTCTCAGTACTTCATTTACCAATGATTTGCTTATGTATAAGGTAGAGGCAATTTTGTTTTTTGAGTAACTATCATAATACAAATAGACAATATGCTACTTGAGATCCTCACTATAGAAGTGTGGCATTTGAAAGTCAATAATAAAGAATTAATTTTTGAATATTGATGTTGTTACTTATATATAGAAATGCAATCTTACTATAATACTAGAGTTCCAATCCGGATAAATCCGTCATCCATTTATCCATATCTGAATTTATCCGGATATCCATTTACTATTGATATCCGGATAATCCGACAAATATTCGGATAATTATCCGGATATCAATAGTAAAACAGATATCCGAATAAATTCAGATCTGGATATCCAATAGATAAATGGATAAATGGATAATGGATCGGAACTCTATATAATACTTAGTTTTTATATCAATAATACAGATTTGTTTTTAGAAAAAGACTTTTTAAACAAGCACAATTGCATAATATATAATAAATTCGAGCGTTTGTTTACGTGAAATATACTTACATTAATTGGGTCTTGAATTAATTACTTATTGTTAAATATGCATATTTATATTTATATTATTGTCTAATAACAGCATTAAATAATTTATAAGAAATAAATAAAAATATAATAAATAAAAACAATTCAATAAAACAAATACTTAAAAGTTTGATTTTCTCATATTTCTTATACTGGTAAGCAAGATATCAAAATCTAAAACTTTTATTAGATGTACAAAAAGATAACTTTTTTTACTTTTTTTAATATTGTATTAAGTTTATTCATCATGATATATTGTCATTCTGTCATTTATTCCTTTTTCTCCTAACATCTATTTTTTATAAAAACAATTTAATAAAAATATATTTATATTGAGTTCATGGAACTGCTTTTAAGTTTTAGACAATACTTTTTATTGCTTTTTATTATTTTCTTGTCACAATTTATCAAAAAAAATGTGACAATACCCGTTTGTAGTTTAAAAAAGAGGATATCCGTAGTTAGAAGAAGAAAGAGTATAGAATTCTCAATGTTATTTGATCTAATTAGCAATAATTTCTTGTATATTGGTAGACATAGTGTTGGGAAAGCGAAAATAAAAAAGGAATTTTGAAAATTTTTGTTTATAAAAAAAATAATTGGATTTATTTAAAAAAATTTAAGGAAATTTAAGAAATTTCACAGATTTCCATGTGATGATCGATCATCAGATGATCACAGTAATTTGAAAAGCACAGTAACAAACAACCATAAATGCTTGATTCTTCAAAGGTAAATATGATTACTCATGATCATCAGGATTAGGCATAAAGTCTTCATAACTTTCCTCTATTATTGCAATATCGTAAATATTTATTGTGAATATGATGACATTAATAAATATGCATGTGAGAATAAAAATCTATGATTAATAAATAAATAATAAATACCATCAAGATATTCATACAAATTAAAACTGGTGTCTATGTCCGTATGCAGGTATGCATATACGTATTATAAATGTAAGTATAATTCAAATAATAATGATAATAATAATAACAGATAATATTAAAAATTAACACAAAACTATAATTTATTTTAAATAGTAAGTTGGGCAAATCCATTACATTTTCTTGCTCTTCACTCGAAGGTTAAGGGAATGGATCCATTACATTTCCTTGCTCTTCACTCAAAGATTGAGAGGGTGGATCCATTATATTTCCTTGCTCTTTATTCAAAGGTTGAGAAGGTGGTTCCATTATATTTCCTAGCTCTTCATTCGAAGGTTGAGAGAGTGGATCCATTAAGTCTTGTTATTTGTTTACAATTAGAGCGTGTCTCATTTAGATGCTTTCACTTACCATTTTTATTAAATTTAATTATATTCTCATATTTCTGTTTAGCATTAAACCTTCGCTTAACCTGAGGTTTATTATTAGTTGGGTTATTGTTAATTAGATCGAATTGGTTTTTAATTAAGTATCAAGGTATCATTTCTTGAAACTCTCTTTTCCTTTTCTTTTTTTATGCTTTATAGACGTTTCGCATAGATCTTTATCAAGCTCTGCTTCATTCTTATTAATTACTGAATAACAATTTTTAACATCTTTAACATGTTTACATTGATAACTCGCATCTCTGTATATATGTAGTTAAATTCCTGACCACATAAAATTGATAGTGTCCTCTAAATTTTGTTTCATTAATAACGAGAATGTTTTTTTTGGGAGAGTTGTAAATTATTAATGAACTAGAACTAGATCAATAATATTGTATAAAATTGTGTAAGTATTAGTGTATTATTGATTTTATTGTAAAATATTTAAAATATTTTTCTTTTCAAAAAAAAAATAGGTGGCATTCAAAAATAGCTTAGTATTCTATGTATATCTTTTTATAAATCTCAGAGCAAAGAAAAAGCAAGAAAAATCTGTTGCTTTATATATTTTTTTGTTCGTTTTAATAGTATGGAAATTCATCTCCGGATTTTCTTGAAAATTCCATACTTCTTTATGTTTTTACTTCTTTGTTTAAAAAAAAAAAGTGTTAAAATGATTCTTTAAATTTGTACATATGTAAATTATGACTGAGAAACAAAAGATTATGGATATTAAGGTTACATTAGATCGTAAATTACATATAGAAAAATTATTAGCATTGACAAATTGGATAATTGATACACAAATTTCCCAAACAGTTTTATCAAAATTCTTAGGTTGCTCAACCTACTCCAACTTGAATTAGGTTCAACTTGAAGCAGCTTCAGAGTATGCTACTCAATTAACAACAATTCTAACATCAAGTCTCTAACATTTGGATCTCAGTACAATAGATCTCTTACAGCTTTAATTATAGCTAGATCTTTACTCAATAGTAACAGTTATATTTAGGAATGTAAACTTTTATTTTAAGCAATACTATAAAACCCGAAGGTCCTGTCTTCTTACCACCCTTTTATATCTTTTGGGGAAGAGAAGTAAATGTAGTAATATAGTTTAAAGATAATTTCTTTTTAAGGGGATTTTCACATCACTTATTCTACAAATATTTATTAGTATTCGGTATAGGAATATAGTAAATTACTTCTATAATGTATTTTTGTTATAAGAACAGTCAGCTCATTATAAGTTAACTGTACATAATTTGTTTTTGTTCGTTTATTATTCATATTTTGACAAAAAATGAAGGTGATATTATGTGTAGAAATACATGAAAATTGATAAACAAAAAATTTCAACTCATCATATTATAGTGAAGTTCAAGGTGGGAAAAAATCTTCACTACAACTTATATTGAGAGAATATTGGATATATTTTAATAATTCAAAATTCAAAATTCTTCATTATATCAAGAGTTTACTATAGCAAGGGTGAGTTGTATTAGGGCATACTAGTTCTTTCCGTAATTTAACTTGATTATATTTTAAAACTCTACAATCTTTTGTAGCTTTGTTTGAATTATTTATTTGCGTTAATTTGGTTCATCGCCCTTCCTCTCCAAATTGGCTGTAAAGATACGGCTCAACTTATGCAAAGAATTTATAAATCTGTAGATAACAAAGATTCTAAATACTTAGTTGGTTGCGTCCCAGTTAAGCCTCCGGCCCCTACTACGACAAATTCGGACAATGCAGATTCGTTTATTAATTCAATCACAGCAGAAGCTTACTATAACGAGCTTCTTTTTACATAATGAGTTTTGCAAGTATAGATTTTATATATTTGATATTATTTAGTAATCAAGCTTTTATTTAGAATATTAACTATTTCTGTATTTACTCTAATCTAATTGTAGTTTTATCTCTTAAAAATAACTAAGAAAGCTTTTCCTCCTGATATTCAAAAATAATAAAATAAAAAATTAATAAAAGTACGAAAATGAGGGTTGAAAAAAAATCCTCTGAGTTTATCCATTAAAAGAAGCATATTATTTCAAAAGATAATTCGCTATAAACATATACATCTAGTTGCTTCTTTGTCAATTTTGTCAAATTCTGTAGTTCAATATATACTGATACAAAGTGAATGGTGAAGCATAAGATATCTAAAGAAAATATTAATCTGGGCATGATGAGTGCACGCATATGAAAAACTCTAATTTATCTAATAGTATTGTCAAAATAGACAAAATAATGGTGTAACTTTTAAATGGTTCATTTATTAAGTAATAAGTACAATAAATTAAAAAAAATACTTATAACTTTATTATATATAAATCACGCTATTAGCGTTAGCCCGTTTAGCTAAAATTAATATATATTGATATTAAATTTTAATTCGACAATTTAATCTTAAACTTAAACCAGAATATTTCTGCATTTGAGTGCTGCCAAGGCAAAACCTGGAAGCCAATATTTGAGGTATCAATAATGTAATTTACTCTCTGGGATATTACATTGTTACGTATTGAATCAGAGATGCGATCAGTTGTTCTAGAACTTATTAGGAATACAAACTAAATTCAATATTATGTAACATACGTGATCAACTTTAAAGATCGCTTGCATTTTTTTCGCACTTTATACATAAAAAACACTAATTAGTAGCAAGTAGCCTTTTATTGTATTTATTAATTTTATGCATCTTTTGCACGAGCTCTCCTACGTCTTCCAACCCTCTCTATTAAATTGTCATCCGGTTTTGGGCAAAGTTTGTTACGAAAAGCAATGGGACAATACGGGCTAATTGCTTTTCTTCGGCAAGACCTTTTTCTGTAAGCTTTTGAAGACTCAGACTTCCAATATTAACATTTGGTTTTAATAATGAGAACTCATCCCAGGGATCATTTAACCTAATCTTTGCTCTTATTATACCAGGTTTTTCACAGCTAAACTGAAAAAAATGATATTTTTGAATAGCTGGAGGTTTATGGTACAATGAACCTAATGCTGAAGTCCAATCACGGAATAATTCTATTTGATCCTCCAAATTTATAGAGATATTATTGTTTGCACTCTTATTAATAATATCAACTAACTGGTCAACACACCAAACTTCTGATCTTGCATATTCTCTTTTAGTATTACCAAACCCACGGTCAACTGAATTTCGAGTATGATTTTTAACTTGAAAACGATACTCGATTTTTTGAAATAACTGGATATGACAAGACCATAAAAAATACTATAGCAGATATGAATTCTTATTTTGTCCACCACAGTTATCTGCCCATAACCTATTTCATTTTATTTAAGTATAAAAAATATTTTTATTTTATTATGTTATTAAAATAGCATATAAAGAATCTAATTAATATATACCTAATTTTATTTGCCTCACCTGCTACAGAAGTAAGAAATAAATGTATTATAGATGTAACTTCATTTGCTCTCTTTAATGCTTTTCCTTCCGTATACAAGTTATGCCAATGAAGATCAATACCTTCATCTACTAGCCCGAATTGGTATACCTTTAACAATGATAAATAATACCACTTTCCTGGTTGTTGAGGATCATGTGGCAATTCTATATTTTGGGCGAAGTCAAAAGAAAATACGCGTAATAAAGATCTATCGCACTCTTTTGCCTATAAAAAATATTTAATTAAATATTTAAAATTAGCGATTTAAGTTATTAATACTATATTGTCAATTGAGTTAAGTAGATATAGAATTTAATTAAAATTGGACGTATATTCAATTTTAATTAGAATCGATCAAATTGGTTGGTCTAATGAACAACGTTATTAAATACTTATATTTAATTTTATTTTACTATTTTAATATCATTTTCATAGATCTCTCTCATAGTACGATAATCGTTTACATGTGTAGCAAACTGGTCATTAAGATCCTCATTGGTGCTATTACTTTCTTTTAATGTACGTTTAAATAGAGTACATTCGTCACATACATCTTTAGATGGCTTTCTGATGATAATTTTATTAAGCTCAATATCTTGTTTCCATATTTTTCGAAAGCTCCAATGACTCTTAATAAGTTTATCCGAATATAGTAAGTTATAAAGAGCAAAAAGGCAACTATATGAATAATGAGATGGGAGTAGAATAACATCATGTTTTTCATATTGTACAGTTATTTGCCCATCTACTTTTTTTCGAGTATATTTCCTAACCGCCAATGATTCACCATGTTGTTCTCCAACTAACCTAATAAAAGATTTTACTTTATTAAGTGTCTCAACAGGCAATGCATTATCAGGTCGACGACCAGTATTTCCATGAAGTTGGGGAAGCATTGACTGTTGTTCTTGAACCTGCCCACGAAGACGATAGTAGGCATTCTTGCCACATACCCAAAATGTTCGAAAAAAAGGGACACAAACTTCGCCAAAATATGGCAGTTGATATCTATTTTGAAAATATTTTTTGTGTGGTCCCTTATCCGAGGAAGCTATAAGTATTAACATTGAATATCGGCGTTGTTTTTTGTTCATTTTTATGCTTTCTAATACTAAAGACTGCAATTGATCCGATGAAACCTTGTCACTACATTTTTCTCTACACAAACAATACGAATTAAGCTTCTCAATTAAATTATCTGTATCAATTTGATCTTTTTCAAGAACATCTTCGGGTTCTTCATCTGCAGTATCTTCATCACTTGACTCTGATTCTAATTCGATTTGATAGCTTTCAACCATTTCTTCATCACTGTATCTCATTTTCTCATCATTGTATTCTATCTCCTCATCACGATATTCTATCTCCTCATCACGGTCTTCTATTTCTTTAAAAAAGCACTCCAAGTCCTCAGGTATTTCCATTAATAAGAAAATTTGAAAAAAATTAAAAACAAAAATCCGGTTTAGTTTGAAATTATCGTGTAGTTTACAAACAAAAATAAGTTTGTGAGAAATTTGATCAAGATCTTATTTCTTATATATTTATTTTGACACGATTTATTAGTCTTTACTAATTTATTTAACTCTTTTTTTGAGCTAATTAACAAAGCACTCAATTAATTACACAATACTAGTTAACTAGATACATTTTTATTAAAAAAGTTAATTGGAAAATGCAATATATTGGCTATATAAAATTCAAGAAGCACTTTAAAAATTAAATTAATCGTGGATCAAATTAGACAAAAAATCGGGAATCACTTTTATTATAAAGAATAAGTTGATCGTGAACCATTTTAACTACTAAATTCAAGTTATTTAAAGAGCACTTTGGTTTTAAAAATTAAATTAATTGTGATAGCATTGGACAAAATTTGAGTTAATCGGAAAGCACTTTAGCTATAAAAATTAAATTAATTGTGATAGCATTGGACAAAATTTGAGTTAATCGGAAAGCACTTTAGCTATATTTAAGATGTATTTTGGTTATAAAAATTAATAGTGAAATATTTGGCTATAAAATTTAAATTAGTCGAGAAACAGTTGCACTGTAATTATGTAAAATAATGCTTTTAAATAAAAATTAATCCTATATAATTATAATAAATTTCATAATCACGAAAATAGCATAATTTTATTGGGTCCATCACCGACAGCTCATTTAGCCGACATCACCCAGGTGAAATTTAGTAAAAATATATACCTGCAACCTATCAAATGCTTAACCCTAACCCTATGTGATGTCGGCTAAATGAGCATTCGGTGAAATGACTGTCGGTGAATTGATCGGAACCGATTTTATTAACTTAAAATTTTCGTTAAATGACGACAAGTGCATATGATATAGAAAAAATTAGAACACTGATCACATCTCTGATTCAATACGTAATATTACAATTTTCCAGGGTCAAACTTACTTTATTGATACCTCAAATATTGGCTTCCAGGTTTTGCCTTGGCAGCACTCATTTGATATCAAATCTTAATTTGACAGATCCTGTTCATTTCACCGAAATCAAAATTCACCGACACGATTCACCGACAAGCTTATTTCACTGATAGTACGATTCACCGACAATACAAGTTTTTTTTTATAAATTACACCAACCTTAACTCTAATTCTGGCCTGACCCTAACGACAATGACCAGAATTACTTTGTCGGTGAAATGACTGTCGGTGAGTCGTACTGTCGGTGAAATGAACTTGTCAGTGAATTGAATGTAGGTGAATCGTACTGTTGGTGAACTGATTGTCGGTGAAATGAATGGAACCGAATTTACCGAATTTGATAATATAAATCTTAAACCGGATTATATTTACATTCAAAACTTCTAGAAGTAACATCTATATTAGAAACTTGGATTTATCCTCTAAACTTCTACTCGAAACATAATCGGAATGGTTTTCATCTATCTGTTAACAATTTATGATAGGATTTAAAAAATAATGTGTAAAACAAATATCTTGAAAAGTAAATTTCTTAAAAAGTAATTACCAAATATGAACCAAGCACTTAGCAAGTCCTAACCTTTCAAAGTTTATTAGTTATTTTATTATTAAATGATTTAAAAAAGTAAATGTATATGTTTTCTTTTTGACCAATCAAATAATCATCAAAATTTGAGTTAAATGATAGTCTTTTCCGTTAATATAAAATGTGAACAAAATCACGTGACTGGGAGTCAAAGCCGAAGTCACCATATATAGTATTTTTATACACATTGATCATCTTTAGCAACATTACGGCGAGTTTATCGTTATGAAATTAAGCTAAAATTCGGTCACTAAATCTAAGTATGAGTGTCGCTAAAAGAAAACCCGAAAATTTAAATATGACTTATATTTAAATTTTCGGGTTTTCTTTTAGCGACACCCCAATTTTAAACTTTAGTTACCAAATAACATAAATAAATCAATGTTAAATCCCGAAAAAGTTTTTTGGACCTCTGATCTTGATTGATAACGCGTCTAACCCATCTTCCCCACTTTTGACGTATCTTAGTAGACATAGAATTTATTATAATGACGCATCTTCACCCGGAATAGTAGTTATTTCGGTCAAAAATCATTATTGTTTACTTAGTGGTCAAATTTTCAAATTTTGGGGTATTTCATAAATTCGCCGTAATGATGTACTGTACCATGTAAATTGATAAGGTCTTTTGTAATTATTGAAGGCATTTATTTATTCGACGTCCAAACGTTACAATGCCAAAGGTTTGTGTGCGAATACTGGATAAACTGTTCAATGATGTAATGATATGATATGATAGTCTCTTGTAAGGCATCAAAGGCATCCTGAAAATTTTCTCTGTCCCTTTTTTCTTCTGTTCATTTTCTTTACGTATATTTATCATTCTAATTTTACTATTTATTGATATATATTATGTAATTTATTTTTAATTTTATTTTTTTTAAAAGCTTGCACTCATGTAAGTCCGGTCACTATGCATAAAATTTGCAAACAAAGGAATCATATAAGTATTAATTACACACTATATGGGCTTAGTGCTGAGAAAAGGGTCGAAGTTGACCAGAAAAATAGTTTTGAGAAATTTTGATTTTTATACTATGAATTTTATAATAAATCATAAGAAAATAAAAACTTTAAAAAATTATACTGCAAAATTTTATTACGATAACAGCATTTTGTTTCTTAAATAAAAAATGTTTTTTTAGACTAATTTTAAATTAATTAAGATCAAAATATTTGTTTAAAAAATTGTCAAATTTGTCCCTTTCAGATATATATATACCTCCCGTTCACCTATTTTTCTTTCGCCTTCATGTTTGAGAATGTGAATTGGTTTTAATGTCCTCAACCTATTTCCGTATTCACGTCCTTTTACATGCTATCCGTAAGAAAAAAAAAAATTTGAACGAGTTTATTCAGGAAATTAGTAAAAAATTTCAATTCCAGTGATTATGGGAAGAGAGGCAAAAATTAGTAAAAATCTATGCAAAATGTCTAATAAAAATAAAATAATTCTTCAATATCCCCCCTAAGAACAATAAAGCACAATTGATAATATACCTGGATCAAAATCTCGTGATAAATGAAAGTTTAAGCTTAAAACAAAAATAGAACCTTATCAGGAAGCTAATGGAACAGTTGAGATAAAAAAAAAAAAATCGAAAATTAGGAGAAAACATCCAAATGAAATACGCTCTAATCTTGAACAAGAAGAAGGCACAGTAGATTCATCCTCTCAACTTTTGAATACGGCTACTTTATCTAATTTTTCAGCGATCACAAAAGAAAAAACTGATTCACCATTTGCAGAAGATTCTCAAGAATTTGAAACCGCCGAACCAATATTTGACCAAAATTTAGAGGTATATTATAGCAACGACTTTGTTATTCCATTTCAAGATAATATGTATGATATGGAATTTTTCATTACAATCGATACTGTCTAATTGCATATACTCTCTAAATGCATAAAAAATTTTTGGTTTTTAATTATTGTCGCGGCTGATTCTGAAATTGGCTGATGCTGAAATCTAGGGCCTTGATTTGAAAATATAAGCCCTGCCAGAATCCACATATACTCTTTAATTATCATTATCAATTCTATCCCTAAATCCTAACCTAATCCTAAAAAAAAGCGAGAAAAACACCCTCAAAAAATTATAAAAAAATTATAAAAATTCATAACAAAATAGGTCCAAATTTCAGCATGAGCCGCGACAATTATTAACACAAAAATGGATCTTATAATTCTGTAAATGCATATACTGTCGATATGCATAAAAAAGTCTCTAACTGATGGTATGCAATTAGGCAGTATCGGCTGTATTATGAATTCGAATTATATTTATTGTAACATTCTTGACACGTACACATTCGTACCTGTATCTAAACTTAGTACAAAACATCAGTTTTCCTTCTCCTTACGTGTATCCTGGTTTTCATTATTTATTTTTATTCTCATATATATATATTTGTTGACGTCTTCATATTCATAATACTTATTTTACAATATTGCAAAAGAACTAAGTTATGAAGGCTGTCAGCAGCTTATGCCGTTAGAAAATAATCCTAACGTTATTGAGGAATCTATTATACGCAGCAAGCAAATTTAAAGACCATTACGAATGAATTCAGTGGACACTTGAGTAAGCATTTATGTTTTGTCTGTCAATATATACCGGGTTGGTGAAAAGTAACTGAACAGTGCCTATTTTACTATCTCCGCTAATATTGACCTTCTATAATTATTTATTATATCTACGTAATACTGGTATAAACGTTAAGTGACAATCAATAGTTTAAAAAAAGGTCACTGTTCAGTTACTTTTTTACCAACCCGGTATATATGGGCTAGGTGCTGAGAAAAGGGACGAAATTGACAATTTTTTCAAAAGAAGTTTTTTTGCATAAATCAATTTAGAATAAGATTAAGAACATTTTTCACTTAAGACACAAAATTAGTTGTATTAATAAAATTTTGCAGTATAGCTCTTTAAAGTTTACATTTTCTTATGATTTATTATAAGATTTACAACATAAAAAAATAGATTTTCCGAAGATCTTTTTTTTTTTTTGTCAATTTCGTCCCTTTTTTTAGCACCTAGCCCATATATGTTAATAACCTTCAATTATAATAATATGTATAAAAAATTTAAAGAATTTAAGTTACTCGATTTGTAAAACAATGATTAAGCATGGTTATACAAAGTTTGATTCATAAAAAGTTTAAATATAATTAGATTGTTACTTTTTAGAGTTATTTATGTATATTAAAACCATAATATATACCGATACGTACCATTCATCTAACTTGAATAAGCATAGATGTATGTACGTACGTAAGTACGTCCAAAAGCATTATATTAAGGATGTTAAAAGTTAAAAGTCCGGTCCAGTCCAGTCCAGTCCTGGTCATAACTAGTTAAAAACTAGTTTATAGCCCGTGTCTGAAACCGGTCTTATTCTAGCAGTTTAATGTATAGAACAATAGTGAATGAGAATTGTGTTTTAATTATAATTACATGGATCGTATTTATAATCACATTTGAATCGACGTAAATTAGCCAATTATAAGACCTTGAGATCACAAAATTATAGGACTAGTTTCGGACCAAACCCGGTCCGAACTAGTTCACCGTGAACCATTTAACATCCCTAACTAAAACTATTCGCTATTTTCGTTAATGTTAGTTAATCCATTGTTTGTTCAAATGATTTGTTATTGTGATCACTAGAGTGTAAAAGTTAATAATTGAAAAAAAAATACTTCACCTCAAAGTGGAACCAAAAAAGAAGGAAGAAAAGTTTGATAGTGAGTTTAAACCAATTTTTTGGCTGAAAGTCCTTCTAAGCTTATATTAAAATGACACCCGAATAATTAATGGCTAAGATAATTACGTATCACATCAGGAAAATTTTAAAATTAGATTATAATCAATTAAAATTTAAGGATTTTAAACGATTTTTATCACCACCGTCGATTAAAATTGATTGGATTGTTATCGATTATAATTGATATAAACTATTGCTATTGATTATAATCTTATAAATTGTATCGACTTTTATTATTAATGATTATTATCAATTTTGATATAAATCAATTATCAACACCACCATCGGTTATACCGTAAAGTGCTGACTCAAGTACCCGGCGTGATAAATAGTATAGATCAATATTTTAAAATGCTATTTATGTGT